CACACACACACACACACACACACACACACACACACACACACACACACACACACACACACATACACACACACATCAGACAGAGCTCCCTGGTAAACCATACGCAGAGAGGGAGAAGAAGACAACAAACGAGGGGTTGTGACAAACTGTTTCATCGGGGAGTTTCACCGTCTCATCAGGACGCTGAACCCTCAAGAATCTGCAGAATCCACTAACTGATTACACTGTAAGTAATAATCCCCACCTTAATCCCGGTTGTGGTTAAGCATCAACGACTTCCCAACAACTGATACCCTTATATATCAACATCAGATAAAACCACTTACCGGTGTAACCGTTTTCCGTCTCACCGGCCCGTCCTCTGGAACGAACATGTTGATCTGCGAAGGATTCAAGCCATATAGAAACTCCGGCACATTCTTGAAATTCTCTGTCACTGATCACAAACCCAAAAAAAGAAGTCCACAAACATCGACAAGATGCCGACAACCAAAAAGCCAGTGCCCATGCCGACAACCAAAGTCTCAGTGTCCATGATGATGAGCGCATCCTCTTCGTACAATTCCAACTTTAGACCCATTCATCAAAAACTTTTTTTGGTTACTTGTGGCAGATTGTTTACTTTTAGGCTGGATTGGATGTCGACGTGTGGAAGCACCCTAGGTAACTATTGGACAAATTGCATCATGTTTGTTTTTTTTTGTCCCCCTTTACTTTGCAATTATGCCCTTTCTTGGTAAACTAGAAGCAAAACTTGTCAAAAACCATTGTGCACAGCTTTCATTTTGGAAATCATCATCATCATCATCATCATCACGACTGTCCCCTTTCATCTTCACCGTTCTCCCCATCGTCATCATCACCGTAACTTTTACTCATCATCATCATCATCATCATTACCCACTTACACTTGTCATCATCATTATCGTTGTCACAAACTTATTATTGTCATCGATACCCCACTTTCTTCCCCTCCTACTCTCCTACCCCCCCCCCTCCTCGCTTATCCAATTCCTCCTCCTCATTCTCCACCTCTTTGTACGCTCTCCTCTCTTTTTTCCCACTGCCAGTTTCATCATCAGCAGCAGCAGCAGCACCACCACCATCATCATCATTATCATCATCATCATCACACGGTCGTGACTGCGGATGATGATGGTGTGATCAGTCACTTCTTTGTTGTTTGACACATAACTCACCAACATTTCGCCCCCCCCTCCAGGTGGCCTCAGTCTCGACGACCTCTACAGACTTGTAACCAGAGGAAATAGCGATGGACAGAAATAGAAAAAGGCTTTTGGGGGCGGGGGGGGGGAGGGGGGAACAAAAAAAAAAAACGGCTCAACGGTACAGTTATATAACTGTGGATAAGGAGACTTGAGTTCGAATCCTGCTGGGAAAAAAAAAAAGAAATACTGGGAATTACCTGATGGAATAAAATTACTCCAAATTACCTGGTGCCGGGGTACGTCGCAGCTCTCTACGTATAAGAAAAAAAGATAAATAGCAAAGGGGGCACAGCAATGGACTACGTAGCCAAAAATAGCAATGGAAAGAAAAGAAAAACAACAACGGAAATAACATTGATGCACTACGTAGCCAAAAAAATAAGGGAAAATTGCATCTGTACCCCACTTAAAGATGGGAATACCGGCTATACCCAATCCCAGCGCCACCTTGCATCTATAGACTCTAGAATCTATAGGACTCTATACCCAGAAAACGGCTGGTGGAAATTGTTTGCATGCCCAGGACCAAGGTGGACCCAGGTCGGTACCGCAAAGTTGCGGTTATAACCAACTACCGGAATGCACAAATTACGGACATACCCCGGTAACATTATGAGCATACCCGGGACCTGAGGAGGAGAGGCCAAATTGTGCATATACCCTGCTACCAGATGGCTGAAATTATGCCCATACCCAGAAGCCGTTGGACCACAACGGTCTACTTGGAGGGCATGAGCGTAATTTCGTGCTCTAAATCCAGGGACTGGGTACACATACAATTTCACACAGGGGAAAAGGAGGGTACTATGCAAAGTTGAATGCCCCCCGACGTATAGATGCAAGTTCGTGCTGGGAGTGGGTACAGTGGGTATTCCCATCTTGGGGTACAGATGCAATTTTCCCAAAAAATAATAGTGATAAAGGTAGAATAGTGCTCATGCCACAGTGCTTGGGCCCGAATTTTAGAGGCTTAACCGTATTCCCCCCAACACAGCGCACCCTCATTTGGACTGCATCGGGCCGGAAACATACCTTGTATACATTCATTTTCAGGGTGCGTTATGTTCGGTGGAAGACGGGTATGGAGGGTGCAGCCTAATAACCGGTCCCGGTTCAATACTTCCTAAAACTTTTGGTCCAAAGTGGGACTAGGAACGGACGCGTGCCACGACGGTGGTTAAGTGAAGGACTACAACTAGGACAACTACCGTCTTAACCCGAAAACAAGGTATGTACCTTGTATTCAAGTTACCTCCGAAGAACGGGTTCTAAGAAATCGCGGTTAAATTTTCAAATAAAAGGTACCCTCGAATACAGGCTATGTACCTTGTATTCGAATACAAGGTACGTAGCTTGTATTCGAGGTGTGCCTTGTAACTGTCACGTAACTCTCTCTCTCTCTCTCTCTCTCTCTCTCTCTCTCTCTCTCTCTCTCTCTCTCTCACACACACACACAC